ACAGAAAAACTATCACGCACGTCTCTATCTCAAAAACGGGGATAAAAACTATCCTATGTTTTTTGCATGGGTCCCAAACTCGTCTCATCTTATCTTGTTTAAGGGACGCGATTGCTTCGCGTGTCACCCTGAGCGTCCACGCGCACTGTGAGACCTCATAGTAATGTTTGTGAATAAGTATTTTACACTGTTAGCCAGGAACCGTTTAGGCGCGAATGGGCCAATTCGCAATTGGTCCAATTCAAACGGCCAGGAACTTCAGGTGGAAAAAACTAGATACATAGGACAAGGGCACTAACTGGTGTCTTCGCTCGTTCGTTTAAGCCAAATGACATCCACTGCTGGACAAACTGGCGTCTTATTTTAGTTTTTTAATAGTTGCGATTTTGCAGCAAAAATGTAGTTTGATGTGCTTGCGACAGTATTGTACCTACCTATTAGGTATATTCGTATTACTGAAGCATTTATTACAATGCTAAGTTATTTGAGTTACTTTGTTTCAGACTGGACTTGTGTACTTTGTATTGTGATGACTAATTAATATTGCATAAGAACACGACAAAAACTACAAAGAAAAGCGAATTATGTTCTTTTGTCTTTATTATTTTACTGAAGATTATCTTTTACGACCCTTTGTAAAATTGTAATAACTGACAGCAATATTTTTCATATACCTATTTGTTAAAGAGATAACTTGTAAATGTAACCTGTTTTGAGACAAATAAATTCTTTCTATCTATCTAAAGACTTCACCAGATAATTATAAATATGAAAAAAAAAAACGAGCCGGAAGACGTAGTGTGGGCAGGCCTCCCACTAGGTGGACCGACGATCTGGTGAAGGTTGCAGGTCGAAGGTCTTTGTGGAAAACCTTGGGGAGGCCTTTAGACGAACGAAAAAAACTAGAATTATGAATCTGGAAATTCGTTAAAGCCCTATTATTTTTTTAACTGTTCGGGTAAACGAACGATTGTCGTCAATGTAAACAAAGCCAAGGGAAATACCTAGCTATAGTGACACATTTTATTATCATTGATTCGCGGTGCTTGAACCAGTATAATCTTGTGTGGATGACTTGGGGCTTCTTTTATCACGGTTTGATTAGTTTGTGGAACCCTTATCACGGTGGCTTATGCAGTTGTTATAGGTACTATTTTGCAATGAAAATGTATAGTTTGACTAGCGGCGGCCCGCGACTTCTTACGCGTGAACCTCGTTTTACCCCTGTTAGATATCATGTTGATAGATGGCGTTTCACGGCTTCCCTCGCATAATATTTACGAACGTCAAAAATAGTACTTAGTTTGTCCAGCGCTGTAGATTTTAAACAATGACGATAGATGGCGCTTTTTAGACACGTCTTATTTATTTATTGAAATTTATTTGCCACATATCGTCATAAATTATAGCCTATATGTTAATCTGGGTTATAAACAATAATACTGTAAAGTTCCAACAAAATCCGTTCAGTAGTTTTTGCGTGAAAGAGTAATAAACATCCAGACGTCCAGACATCATGACATCCAGACATCCAAACTTTCGCCTTTATAATATTAGTAGGAAGTAGGATGTGCTGCCGACTGTACATACATGTCTACTTATATCAACTGAATATAACGACCTCATAAAGCTAGCAGGAAGGCGCTGGATGCAGGCCGCTATCAACCGGGCGACGCGATGTTTAAGTCATTGGGGAAGGCCTATGTTCAGCAGTGGACGTTCTGTGGCTGAAATGATGATGATGATAACACAATTTTCATTGAGGTTCGTTGACACACGTTGTTCTGTCCAAATCTCGAAATAGTTAATCCGAAATGAAAAATGTGAAAACATTTCTTGAATACTTCTTATGTAATAATAGCATAAATCTTCCGTAATTACGTTGTAATGACCTTAAACACAAATAAAACATATTAATATCGTGAATCATAGTCTTGAGCTCATACAAAAATTCCGCAGTGAAGAGTATTGTATTTTTTTCCTAATCCAGAAATGTTTGGAAATCTTCCAATTTTGTTTCCATTTAAAGCCAAAGCCGTTTTCAAGCTTGCCAACAAACAGCGCATTTCCAATTGTATTGTATGGATTTTAGACAATAAAGCAAGTTCATGTTAATAAAACTCATTTATTTTTGTAAGCAGGTCGATTCGAACCACTGCTTCGGGACGATAAATGGTCTGATTGTTAGTCATCTTTTCATTGGCTACTTTTCAAAATAAATCTTAAATGTGACCAAATAAGTAGGAAATAAAAGTTTGTGGGGCCCCGTCTCATTCTGGGTCATGGCTTCTCTTTTCCCGAGGTTAAAAAATTACCCTTTTTTAACCTCTGGAAATGCTTTGCATACCCACTGGTCGATGAGGACGGCCAGTGGGTTATGTGGGACTCTCCCCGCCTGGTCACTAAAGGCAGGGCCTACCCACTAAAATCCGACGGTGTCCATCGGAGCCCAATGAAACGGAGCCGCGAGTTATTGTCCTAGCTTGGACATTCGTCAGCTCCTCTGAAAAAAAATACCCTTAGAATAGATACGCCAAAGAAGATGTTATCAATATTTTCACATGCTGCAGATTGAGATATCATAGAATGTGCAGTTATCAATATTGACAAAACAATAAGGATCTTTAATACCACATATTTTTTACCAGAACGATATCAATTTATGACTGGAGATTAACAATCCAAGAATGTATTTGACTAGTGTATCTGATACATAGCACACTTGACTCTAGTATTTATTGGTCTTACATTATCATTATACGTGGGACACTATTTAAGTTGTGAGCCTAACTATGAAAACAAAGTAGTTTATTATTAAAATGGTATTGATTGCTTTTATTGGTATTGTCTTTCATGATTTATGTACTTTTTAATGTGTTTGAAACACTTTTCATAGCATTTTTTCCACTCAGCTTGAGGCACCTCCAAAGCATGGTTTTTGACCGCACCGACAGTTGCTTCTGGCTACATAAATCGCTGTTCACGCATTTAATTTTAATATATGGGTACCAAAAGAAGTGTTTAGATTCCTAGAAATAATTTTGTAGCGTTGGACCTGTTTATTTCATATTTTGAGTGTTCAAAGTCAGTTGTTTGACGAGATGTGTAAAAGCTCACATTTTCGTCACGAATGGTGATTCGACTATGCTGGTCAGTTTCCCTTATTAAACTGAAGACTTTTGGAAAAAAAGTGGCTGTTTACTATTAAGAATTAACCGTTCTAAATTTCTCTAGTGACGTTTCTGTCATATAATCGGATATTTCGGAAAAATAGGCGACCGTAAGTTTCAAAGTGTTCCGAGCGCATGGGATTTTTGTTAGAATTGGTTCATCTTAAAACACCTCCATAGTCGATAACTGTTTATTTTCAGGATCATTATGCATAGATCCTTAATTCGTCAACTGTCACAATTTTAAAAACGGCTTTNCTGTTTTGGTCTTTACTGAGAGCCATGGCTTCTTTCTGGCTATATAGCCCTTAAGCCCAGCTTCTTGGAGTCTTCTGCGAGTTGTTCTTGCAGAAATCGGCGTATTAATTTCAGCTGATAACTCAGCAGCGAGGTCGGAAGAAGTTTTTTTATGATTTTTCAAAGACTAACAATACTACAGTATCATAGCTAAACATCTCGAAACGTGTTTTATTGCACGTTGTGCCGTGAGTTTATGTTTCAAAACCTGTCAAAGAAAGGTTTTTATCAAATATCTTTGAGTATCTTTTATAGTTATCATGTATAAGCAGTATTTAGGGGGTGCTCAATACTTTTGGCCAAGGCTGTATTTGACTAGTGTATCTGATACATAGCACACTTGACTCTAGTATTTATTGGTCTTGCATTATCATTATATCTTATAGAATGTCACACGAGCTACACTTAGGTGATAAAGTAATTGATGTTTACAAATACCTAGCCGTGATATGGCGGATCTGAGATAAATAGGTCTATTTGACATGATTAGCGTGATTTGCAGATGTTGACATGTTGTGTATCTACTTGCTATTATTACAAATACTAATATTATAAAGAGGTATATAAAATATAACTAGTAAGTTTGGATATGAACGATAAGTCTCAGCAGACTCGGTACTTTTTGATAAAGCCAAAATACAACATTAAAATATGACCAGACGTATAGATAAGATATGCCTAACCCGAATATTCAATTACACTTATGTTATTATTGCAAAAATAAAGTGCATCAGCATTTATTACACTATTTAATATACAGGACGCTTTTCATTTTAAGCCTATAACCCACCTGAAATTTAAGCTAATTTACTTTCGACATTGTTTTCGGATATTATTTTAGACTCAAAAGACTTTGATATCTTTAATTTTATCAATGACGTCACTACAGATTCTTATTGCTTTAGGTCATAGGTACCTGTAAACAGAATCAATGAATGGAAAAATCTCGTTTTCATAGAATCAGATGATACGTCAGTTATTTGGTGGTGTTGTTAACACGCAAAATTGACCTAAGGCTGGCTCCACACGTTAGCCCTAACGTTACGTTGGTCCCAAAGCCATTCATTATGTGAACAAATGTTGGGACAAGCTAATACTAAATCCACACGTTGGACGGACGATTAGCGTTTGTACCAATACGTTGGGGCCAACGTGTGTGGAATCTAAGCGCGCGAGTTCATGCCCATCGGGGCCTTACTTACTTACTTATTTACTTATACTTATTTATAAGTTGCAAAAAATATGGAATAAGTAGATAAGGTTGACCTACTTAATTGGTAATAATGATCGATATCGACATTAGCATAATTAGTAAGGTAACAGCACTACCGCATTCCTCAGGATGGACTCGCGCGCATACTGTAGTTTCTTCCGCCACTTCTTCTCAGCACCAACCAACCCATATATTTTCCCCAAGTGGTGGTAGAGCAAGCTGTATTTGGGACGTGTTTAAGTGCCCTAGAATGGGCCTATGTACTGAATAAACTATTTGTAGTTGTTTTGAGTAGGCATTTAAAAAAATCTTTGTTTCAGAAGGCGATATGCCAGTGAGAGACGACACGAAACGGCCACTCATAGGGGTCATAGACGATGGAACGAAAACTGTCAGATTTGTCGTAAGTAATCCATTCACCCGTAATACTTAACCATAGAAAAACTGGCTGTCTTAACTTCCAACAGCCCAATCCCAACATTGGTGTTATGGTGGTAAGATAGCTATAGCTTGCTAGGTCGTATAAGCCCTATCACCACCCGAACCAAGCATAAAATTTTGCTACCATTGGGAATAGAACCCGAGAATAGGGGTGTAAATAAAGAAGTAGCTCGTTGGTTCCGCCAGAGCAGAATAGAAATATTCTTAAATAGATAAAGGTAAGTAGGTACTACTAGTGACTTGGAGTTAATAAGGTTAAGAGTCAGAAGATATCTCGAAATATCCAGTTAAATAAATAATCTACATTGAACTTGTAAAATTAAGATCAAAGTAATAGCCATTATGGACGGCTGGATGCAGGCGGCTGCCAACCGTGCGATGTGGAAGCCATTGGGGGAGGCCTATGTTCAGCAGTGGACGTCATTTGGCTGAAATGATGATGATGATGAAGAGCCAACTTTTACGAAGGTCAAGGAAAGTTGTTATATTCCTTTTTGGTTCAATGACCAATTAACTTTGCAGTTGGCATTGGCAAGCTTTCTTAGTTACAAATATAACGTAATATTTTCGTATCTTCTTGTGATTTTCCTCGTCCTTGAACTTGTATAGCTCGCTCTATCGCAATTGAGTTCAGTGTCAACACTGCGGCGTCTTACTTCGTTGTGATAGGTGTCATTTTGCAACTAAATGTACAGTCTAATATGCAGTCGACTGTACATATTGCTGCGATAATATAAATCACTATGCAATTAATGCCTTACGAGCCCGTGTAGGTAGGTACTAGGTACACAGATAGTCATAGTGTAGGTACTTAATTGATATTTAATTTATCAATAAGACCTCTGGAGAGAAAAAAATTACGATCGTTGTAATTGTTGCGTTTAAAATGATTAAGTTATCTTACACGTGATTTTTAACTTGAGGAAAGAAGAAATTCCACTTGCGAGACTTCCACTACGACCTTTTGCTTGTCGCTTCTTCGACCATTGAGCTTACTGTCACTTGCAATTGATATCTGAGAGAAATAGAGCCTTTTTACTAATGCAAGGCTCCCAACGGACTATAGACTTTTAGTCGGCCGATTGTTTGGTCAGCTTCCAATTTGTATGAAGAATCGGCCGATACCAAATCGGTGTAATGTGCGTACTTTCATACATGTTCATGATTAACAGCCCGACCAAGCTATTGTCCGACAAAGTCTGTAGTCTGCAGATTGAACAGAAAGGCTTGTTTAAAAAATCTATTTCCAAAGTATCATTTTTGGTTGTCTGCGCAATGATGCGCAAAGCGGTTATTCTTGATGCTTGTAGTCGTGTGTTATCGGATCACTAAACCTTCATACTTGATTAGATCACAACACCAAATGTTAATCTGATAATGATTATAAAGTTATGAAGTGGATTCATTGCCACGCCTCTCGCATGATTGATCATTATTTCCATAAGTAAGAATATGTAATTATGCTTTTTCCGAACATTCAAGATTTTCGTTGAAAACATTGTCCAACCATTTTGACATCGGACTGAAGCCGATTTGAAAAGTCTTTGTTCTTATTATTTCCACATCACCTCTCCGCTCCGCGTTAAATCTGATTGGATATTCAAACACATACTATTTCTTCTCCGCTTTGGTGGAAACCGGGCCTTAGTTACCTTTTACGACATCCATGCAAATGTAGGCGAACCTATACCAGTCAGCTGGAGTCATGCGGAAAATATATTCCTTCGTTTCAGCCGAAAGACGTCCACCGCTGGACAAAGGCCTCCCTAAGGTTTTCCACAAAGACTGGTCCTGCGCCGCCCGCATCCAGGCACCTCCCGCGACCTTCACCAGATCGTCGGTCCACCTAGCGGGAGGCCTGCCCACACTACGTTTTCCGGCTCGTGGTCACCACTCGAGAACTTTTTTCCCCAGCGGCCATCAGCTCTACGAGCTATGTGCCCCGCCCACTGTCACTTTTTAGCGATTCTGCGAGCTATGTCAGTTACTTTGGTTCTCCTGCGGTTCTCCTCATTTCTGATTCGATCACACAGGGAAAATATATTATAAAATATTATGTAAATTCCAACTACTCCCACACCCATAATTTTTGTATACAAACTTCCTTATCGCTGCGCTATCAGTTCGGCGTAGGAAACTTATCAAAACCAACAGTGACCTTATTTTGTTGTGTCTAATCTGCCTTGTTTTATCGCGGGGTGCAGGTCAGAACGAGTACGAAGTCTGAAACTCCCAAATTGTTATCATAAGGAAGATTAATTCAATAAATATTTTTTCTGTGTGTAAATTTCCGATTATTTTGTTATGACGACGCGAAGTAGTATCGATTGCAATAGAACTCATTGACCCCGTGAATTGATTTAAACATTGGAAAATAGTTTCGTCTATTATATTTCTATGAACCTTTTTAGGGCGCTTTCGATAAAAAAAACTATGGGTTACCACAAAAGAGCTTCAGATTTTTGAGATCATGAATTTTCATCATCATCATCATTTCAGCCATAGGACATCCACTGCTGAACATAGGCCTCCTCCAATGATTTCCACAATGGCCGGTTGGTGGCGGCTTGCATACAGCGCCTTCCCGCTACCTTTATGAGGCCGTTTTTCATGAATCGTTTATAAAAAACGACCTCATAAAGGTATTTACCTCATATCGTATTTGACTGAAATTGTTTAAAATTTACTCTCCAAATAAGAAATTATATTATGTAGTTCTAGAATTTACTTTCTGGTTTCTAGTGGTAACATAATTTTATCCGACTCCATAAAAGACAAAATCCCGCATCCATATTAATTTTGCTCAAGTTCAACATACCTTTATGACATTGCATATTACATAATAATAATTATTTTGTTCTAGACGTCCTTCGAGTTCATACAAACTCAAGTCGTCGTGTTCGTAGAATTAGCATCACTTAACATTCACTTACGATTTTTACATTTACATACTATACGTTACTTGCTATGTATGTAGTGCGAGGGGTGACGAAATACTACAAGTTCAAGCAAACGGCTCACTTTGGGATTTAAATCGAAATTGTTCTTCCACAACAATTGAGGTTATAATCCCTTATGATGATCGATCATAACTACTCAACTCATCTTTCACTTAATATGCCGGCGCCATATACAGGGTGAAATTTTGTAATGCCACCTGGAGGGAAAGTACTCTTAATACTGTAGATAGAAAATTCTACTCAAAGAAAACATTCTTCTATAATAATCAAGAAGTCTTGGATCCACCACACCAATGTGTAGATCGGTCTTGGCCTTACGTTTATGTTCAAAGATCGATAAAATTGTTAATTTATTAATCACTGATTCTAAGGACTATTTCTAATTCCCGAGTATCTGCATACAGTGTGGATCGGACTTTCCATACTTTATTTACCTGTCCTTTTTCAATTTAATTAAAAAAAACATACAAAAGGGGTTCACACATCCCACACATCTCATTCAGATGAGAGTACATTTTAAATCCATTACAGATTCATTTGAGTTTTTGTAACGTTTCAGCCAAATGACGTCCACTGCTGGACAAAAGCCTCCCCCAAAGATTTCCATACCAACCGGTCCTGCGCTGTTTTTGTAACATATCAAATGATATCTTCCTCCTCAGGTATACGAAGCTGAAAGAGCAGACGAACTGACATCCTACCAGCTAGACAAGACAGAGGTGCAGCCACAAGAAGGATGGTCGGAACAGGACCCCATAGAAATCTTACACCATATAAAAGAGTGCGCGGAGAAGACCATAGAACAGTTGACTGAGTTATGTGAGAAAAGTACCTTATAGTTCTTGCAACTCACGAAGGCGAGTGAGCTTTACTTGTGTGTGTACGTGTACATGCACATAACGATAGTGTAATGTCTATCAGAACTTTAAAAAGCGAGCCATCACGCATGTAAAGCTCACTCGCCTTCGTGAATTGCTACAACTATAATTTAGATGAAAAAACTTGTAGATAACAACTGCCACAGGTGGTACTTGAACTTCAGGGGCCTTAATCACTGAGCTACCGCCTTTAATCACTGAGCTACCGACTTTAATCACTGAGCTACCGACTTTAACCACTGAGCTACCGACTTTAACCACTGAGCTACCGACTCTACCACTGAGCTATACTGAGACATCCCTTCCTCAACCTGCCGAAAATGTCCAGTTTTTTTTTAACTTTTGAGTAAACTCGAGTTATATTGCAATCATGCATAATATTAATCCAACGAAAAATATCAAGGTTTCGAGGGTCGGTAGTAGTCCCGTAGTCTGACTGAACCCACTTCTAACACAAGCTTTTGTTTAACTTACGCCCGATTCTACCAAACTTTTATCCGAGTATAATTCGTGTTATAACTCGCACATTGACAGGTTCAGTATGGGAAATATGTCAAAACTGACGATTTATTCTGAGATTAATATTTACTCTTGTTTGGTCGAATCCACTCTTAGCTAGAGAGATTAACGGGTTAATTTAAAAAACATATCTCAAATATTTTGAGTATTAAGCAAGAAGACATACTCAGATGAAAAAAAATCAGCACCAGCCCATATGTTGTCCCGAAGTGGTGGTAGGGCAAGCTATATTTGGGACGTGTATAAGTGCCCTGGAAAGGGTCTATGTACTGAATAAATTATTTCATTTCACACATCTGCTTAACGATATTCTCTATCTCTCTCAGGTTATACCAAGGACGATATAGTTACATTGGGTATCACAAATCAGAGGGAGACGACGATAGCATGGGACAAATTCACAGGAGAGCCTCTACATCCAGCGATAGGTAAATATAATAAATAGCTTTGTTTTTTATCAAGCGAAAATAGAATGGTGAAGGTGTCGGACTGGCCGACTCGAGATCCGAGGAACGCTGGTTCGAACCCCGCCGCGGCGCCGCTCGATTATTGTGTGAGTGAACTCACTCATAACACAAGCAGGGTTGCATGATTTAAATCAAGTTGATTTAAATCATGATTTAAATCACGATTTTTATTGCATGATTTTTTAAATAAAAGTCACTGATTTAAATCAATATCCGAAAATAGAACTAATGCAACGCTGGGAGTGCATATTAATCAACTATAATGTTCGAAAACAATGTTAATTTAGGTGTTCAAGTATGAATAAGCCGTTTTGTATGGAAAATTGTTAAAAAAATATTTTTCCATAGATTTTTTTTTTGCAAAAAATAAAAATTGATAACTTGTAATAAGATATTCGTGTTTTGTAATGGAAACGGACACCACTTATGACGAGCTGTTTTTGACGAAAGTTTTTTCTTGTTTCAGTAAAAATATGACATATTACACAATTTACTTTTTTTGGCTTGTTCCCAGTACTATACCTCAGTTGTACCTAAATAAATATGTTTTCCGCGTGAAAAACTAAGGCAATGATTGCAAAATCTAATAAAAATCAAATAAATCAATATAAATCAAAAAAATCATGATTTTTTAAAAAAAATCTGATTTTTTTGATCAAAATAAAAAAATCATGATTTTTTTCCACCCTGAACACAAGCATATTTAGCTTAGGGCATTGGTTCCCAAACTTATTTGAGACGCGGTCCCTTTCGACCATACAAAAATTCCGCGCGCCCCCTCCTCCAGTCAAGATTATTTATTGGTCGTATCGAGCAGTCTGGAATGAATTCTCTCAGCGGTCGCATGTTTTTTATACTTAAGTACACAGATGGCCCGCGCCCCCCTATAAAGGTCTTCGCGACTTCCCTGGGGGGTGCGCCCCCCACTTTGGGAACCAATGGCTTAGGGGGACTAATATTCTTTAAAAGAAAGCTTTAGCCCATATGTTCCCCTTTCAAAATAAAAAAAACTGTTCAAAAACTATTTTGTCCTCCCTGGATTTCAAACTCAATACCAAATTCCATCTAAATCGGTTCAGTAGATTAGGTGTAAAAAGACAGAGTTTATTAGAGAAGTAATAGCTATTTTAGTACATAGCTACTAAAAATAATATTGCAATAAATTCTTTCAACAATACGTACGTTAAACACAAAAAAGTTCATGACTGTAGCTATCAATCAGTTTCATTTTGCATTGCTACGCTATTTTTCTCCACGCTGAAAATTGCATTTGCAATTCTGCGTTGTTGACTCAAGTGCATATAATGTTTTTATAGTGTCCTTGATACATTTCAAAGGCAAAATATACTTGTGTCCTCTTATTTGTATTTCTTTCTTTTATGTTACTGTTTTCTGTAGTGGACAAAAAGTGTATTTATTGCTGTACCGGTACACATACACCTGTATTCACAAACGATGCTTGCTTAAGTGAAGCACCAAATCGAACGCACAGCATTGAAAAGAGCTCTATGATTGGTTCGTGTGTGTCCACGCGCACTGTGAGACCTCATAGTAATATTTGTGAATACGGGCGATAGTTCTTCTTACATCTTCAATCTTAACAACTTTTTGGTCACTTTGGGTGTTATGAACTATTTGACGCTGACGTATATGGCATATACTCAATACTCAATCGTAGCACATTCACATTAGGTCTTACAATTTAGTTAGGCAGTTATACAATGTGGACCCAGTTGTGGCACAGCAACTTTAGGAAGGAGACAGAACGACGAACTTAATAGTTTCAAACTACGGCCTGCGGCGTTTATAGGAGACCATAAACTAACTCTATATTCCATTTTCAGCATGGAACGACATCCGTACAGACTCCACCGTAGACGCGATCCTGGCTAAGGTCCCAGATAGAAATAAGAACTACCTGAAGAACATATGCGGCTTGCCTATCAGTCCTTATTTTAGTGCTCTGAAGATGCGCTGGATGAAGGACAATATTAAAGCGGTTAAGAAAGCTAGCAAAGACAAGAGGCTGCTATTCGGCACTGTCGACTCTTGGATTGTTTGGGTGAGTTGTCATCATCATCAAAACCATCATCATTTTAGGACATGCTCTTCTGGGGGCTCTAGTGTGAGTTTACGTCAAACTCATTCGATGTCGACTGCGTAAAAAAGTAACATTAAATGTATGACGGATTGTACAGCGCCCCTAGCGGAAACTTTCTAAAACTAAAATCTTCATATACACTCGGCATCAAATAAATCGCACCTCCCGCGACAAACGTATGCATCCCCACTTCCCACCACCGTTGGTACCATTTGAAAGCCTAGCTCTAAACTTCATTTCATTAAAGGAAAGGTTTTTACCCCAAAAATGTGTCTTTACAAGGATCCAGAGTCACTTCTTCAAAAAATAGGTAGTTACGCTATAGCCATTTTTTATGACTATAAAACTGTTAAGTTGGGATAAATCGCTATCCATCTGTTAAAGAGGACACGTGAGATCATTATTTGGTTTTATAACCATAAAAATTGGTCTAACTGATCCCAGAGGTGAGCCCAAAGTGAGGTCTATTTTCAAGTCACATTTATGGTATATCTTAACCATTTATTTAGAAATAAAATGTATTTTTCTTTAAGGATATTTATTGGGCTTTCAAATAACACCAATATTGTTGGGGTACCATAATTGTGTCAGAAGAAAATCTTTAAAGTTCGCGTCGCGGAAGGTGCGGTTTATTTGATGTTGAGTGTATAAATTTGTTTAACGCGCTCGCTAGTGACGACGTTTGATGTAAACTCACACTAAGCCCTCTGAATAATTTCGGCGCGGGTCCAATGATAGTTTATCTTTCCCCCGGGACAAACTTGGCCTTCACTGGTCGGGTTTTTATTGGCCGTCAAGCTGTAGATTGATTAAGTATAGACCTGGTTAAGTATACATCCATAAATATAGAGTTGCAGCGGTGAGAACGAGAGGTGGAAATTATAGTCCCGTAAATGGCAGTTCTCTGGACGTAACGCCCGTATTCACAAACGATACTTGCTTAAATGAAGCAGCAAATCGAATGCACAGCGTTGAATAGAGCTCTGTGATTGGTTCGTGTGTCACCCTGTGCGTCCGCGGGCAATGTTTGTGAATACGGGCGTAAGTCTCCATTATAAAACGGCATCAAACACGATCTCTCGCTTTTTAAATGTAGCAATGCCAGCATTGCCAGCTTGGTTCGTCGGTCCATCGGGTAGGTCGTCTAATGCTACGTTTGCCAAGGCGTGGTCGAGATTCGAGAACCGAGAAAACAGTGCTTTCCATAAATACTCGTATAGCTAACACTTCAACTTGTATCAAATCTCTACTCTTATCCCAACTTATATATTATAAATGCGAAAGTAACTCTGTCTGTCTGTCTGTCTGTCTGTCTGTCTGTCTGTCTGTCTGTTACGCTTTCCCGCTTAAACCTCGCAACCGATTTTGATGAAATTTGGCATAGAGATAGTTTGAGTCCCGGGAAAGAACATAGGATAGTTTTTATCCCGGTTTTTGAAACAGGGACGCGCGCGATAAAGTTTTTCTGTGACAGACAAAATTCCACGCGGGCGAAGCCGCGGGCGGAAAGCTAGTTAGAAATAAACCAAATCTCTCTATCTGACAGATAAAATTATAGTTGACAGTTTGTTCATTCATACAATTTGTTATACAGAACCTCACTGGTGGTCCCCACGGCGGTCTCCATATAACAGACGTGACAAATGCTTCCAGAACACTCCTCATGAACCTGGACACCTTGAATTGGGACCCTATGCTGTGTAGGTAAGGTCGATTTAAACTTGCTTAGACCCAATTTCACCAACAAAATGAGTTTAACAAAAGTTGGTTGATTANATTCTTTAAAACAAAGCTTTGGCCCGTGTGTTCCCATTTTCAAAAACTGATTTGAAAACTTTTTTTTTGTTTTCTTTGCATTTCAAACTTCGATCAAAAATACCAACTAAAGCCTGGTCCGTGAGCACGTAGAATCCCGTCCAATGACCCCAAGCTGCCCATCCTTGTCGCTCGCACGTAATTATGTTGCTTGTACTTAGATAATATCGGGTCAGCGCAAAAATTACGTCTCGGAAAATAAGAGCGCAAGTGCAAAGCGAGTTCTTTTATTGCAATTAATCTCTTTTTTCGTATTTTTCGGTATCAATTTAATTTAATATTTTATAGTCTTTAAAATTACACATGTACACCCTGCTAAGTGAGTTGGCTTTAATTAAATAAGAACTTCGCCACAGAACAAGGCCTCGCGAAATCTGTCTTGCCCACATCAAATTTAGGTCTTGCCCCGCCACTGACTATATCTATCAATCAGTTTCATTTTGCATTGCTACGCTATTTTTCTCCACGCTGAAAATTGCATTTGCAATTCTGCGATGTTGACTCAAGTGCATATAATGTTTTTATAGTGTCCTTGATACATTTCAAAGGCAAAATATACTTGTGTCCTCTTATTTGTATTTCTTTCTTTTATGTTACTATTTTCTGTAGTGGACAAAATATGTATTTATTGCTATACCGGTACACATACACCTGTATTCACAAACGATGCTTGCTTAAGTGAAGCAGCAAATCGAACGCACAGCGTTGAAAAGAGCTCTATGATTGGTTCGTGTGTGTCCACGCGCACTGTGAGACCTCATAGTAATATTTGTGAATACGGGCGATAGTTCTTCTTACATCTTCAATCTTATCAACTTTTTGGTCACTTTGGGTGTTATGAACTATTTGACGCTGACGTATGTGGCCTATACTCAATACTCAATCGTAGCACATTCACATTAGGTCTTACAATTTAGTTTAGGCAGTTATACAATGTGGGTGGACCCAGTTGTGGCACAGCAACTTAAGAAAGGAGACAGAACGACGATCTTAATAGTTTTAAACTATTCACACACACACAACTTCAATTATAGGAGACGACCGCCTAATTCTTTATTCCTTTTTCAGCATGGAACGACATCCGTACAGACTCCACCGTAGACGCGATCCTGGCTAAGGTCCCAGATAGAAATAAGAACTACCTAAAGAACATATGCGGCTTGCCTATCAGTCCTTATTTTAGTGCTCTGAAGATGCGCTGGATGAAGGACAATATTAAAGCGGTTAAGAAAGCTAGCAAAGACAAGAGGCTGCTATTCGGCACTGTCGACTCTTGGATTGTTTGGGTGAGTTGTCATCATCAAAACCATCATCATTTTAGGAAATGTTCTTGGGATTAATTTTGATGCGGGTCCAATGATAGTTTAACTTTCCCCCGGGACAAGCTTGGCCTTCACTGGTCAGGTTTTTATTGGGGGTCAAGCTTTTGATCACGGCTACAGGAGTTGCAGCAGTGGGAACGATAAGTGGGAATAGTCCCGTAAATGGCATTTCTCTGGACGTAAGTCTCCATTTTGAAACACGATCTCCCATTTTTTAAATCTAGCTATTGCCGGCTTGGGTCGTCGGTCCATCGGGTAGGTCGTGGCAAGGCGTGGTCGAGATTTGAGAACCCGGATTTTTTCGAGAAATCAGTGCTTTCCATAATTTTATAGCTAACACTTCAACTTGTATCAAATCTCTAGTCATAATAGAAATAAACCAAATCTCTCTATCTGACAGATAAAATATAGCTGACAGTTTGCTCATTCATAACATTTGTTTATTCCAGAACCTCACTGGAGGTCCTCACGGCGGTCTTCACATAACAGACGTGACAAATGCTTCTAGAACACTCCTCATGAACCTGGACACCTTGAATTGGGACCCTATGCTGTGTAGGTAAGGTCGATTTTAACTTGCTTAGACCCAATTTCACCAACAAAATAAGTTTAACAAAAGTTTGTTGATTACTTTGTCTTTTTAATGTTGTGCCATATTTGGCACAATCATCCATACTTGAAAATATGAAGGTAACTTAAAAAAAATGTGTTTCAGGTTATTCGGAGTACACCGAGATTGCTTACCGCAAATTCTCAGCAGTTCACAAGTCTATGGCGTCGTCAAAGATGGCTCTGTGTTAGATGGAATTAGAATATCAGGAGTGAGTACTTAATTTCCCTCACACACTTAAAACTGGCATAAAATGATTCTATTTTAGAATAATTAGTTCGTTAAAAACATTCACTAATAATTCCCAGACACAACATCTTAAACAAACTTCAATATAGCCCTGAAAACTGAGCAATTGTTGTTGTTTGCAATTTGTTGTAAAAATCGATTTGATTAGTAGCTTTGAAATTAATAAATAGACAATCAATTGAGTTTGAATTCAGTGACTCATAGATTGTCTTTGGCATACCAAATCGATTGCATGTACGGACGACAGCACATCGGAATACACATTTTTGTTGCAAAATCACTACAAATACAAGATGCCACAGTGTTTAGCTTGATGTACTGTCTAGTCTACTGTACTTAGTTTAATTTAACTCTGTTTAATTGATAAAGTCCAAATACACATTTTAATACTCAATGTTTCTCTCCAGATTTTAGGCAATCAGCAATCAGCGTTAGTGGGCCAGAACTGTCTCCAAGCGGGTCAGGCGAAGAACACATACCGAAGTGGCTGCTTCTTACTATACAATACCGGGCCGCGGCGAGTGCACTCCAGCCATGGACTGGTTACCACGCTAGCATACCAACTAGGGCCTAATGTGCCGCCTGTGTACGCGTTAGAAGGTAAGAATTATTTATGTGCCACATATGGCACGCAGTGACAACCTTTCTACAACAGCGCAATCGATGCAAGGTTTAGCACTACGATACCTTATCAACTGGGCTGTAACGTACGATTAACGACTGTGTCAAATGTGGTACAATGCGAGATTGGCTCGCTTATCGGGATATTCATAATAATATTGTTTGTATAGGGGTATTAGGGGTTAAGAAAGCAAAATTGATCAACTTATGAATGCAATAAATTTTCAAATTGACCAAATATTGATACAAAAACTATAAAAAAAGACCTTGGAAGCCAATACGTGATCTTATTTTAGTTCGTAAGCCCAACATCACACGGTTGATATTTCTATAAACCTGTCTGGTAGTGGCAGAATTAATGCTACCATATTTTGAACTTTAGCGAGTATAAGGGGGCGTAGTGGAAGTTTCCGTCAAACGCATTCGACTGCGTTAAAAAATATAAGAAGATTTTAGTTCTTGAGAGTTTCCGCTAGGGGCGCTGTACAATCCGTCATACATTTAATGTCACTTTTTACGCAGTCGATATCGAATGCGTTTGACGTAAACTCACACTAAAGTACCGCCAACTAGCAGCGATACAAAAGGTCGATTCGGCTGTCGAACTGACAATCTATTCTGTCTCTTCCCATCTTGTGTATTTGTCGTAATGTCTCGTTCTCCCGCCAAAATATGTCGAAGTCAAACCCCTGCTATTCCAAATTACCATGACATTGGGTTTGTTTACATTTGGTATCGCTTCTCGTTGGCCGTACTTTTAAGTACTTTACGCTCCAAGGTTCAAATATTTTTCTCTACAACATTTTTCTCTTACACAGGCTCAATAGCAGTCGCGGGAGGCGCCATGAAATTCCTGCGGGACAATCTCAGACTAATCAGGGACGTGTCACACGACACGGAACACATAGCGGGACAAGTGTTCTCTACGGGGGACGTGTATTTTGTTCCGGCTTTCAGTGGATTGTACGCGCCGTATTGGAGGAAGGACGCTAGAGGGTGAGATTTGAACCTTAAGCCTTTGTAATAAGTGTCTAAATAGATTGAGTTTTAAGTATTCTATCGGCGGAAAAGAGCGAAGAAGTGTCGGGCGCACTTGTTTTTAGGGTTCCGTAGCCAAATGGCAAAAAACGGAATCCTTATAGATTCGTCATGTCTGTCTGTCTGTCCGTCCGTATGTCACAGCCATTTTTTCCGAAACTATAAGAGCTATACTGTTGAAACTTGGTAAGTAGATGTATTCTGTGAACCGCATTAAGATTTTGATGCAAAAAAAAAAAAAATATTGGGGGCTCCCCAATTCCCCATACTTAGAACTGAAACCCAAAAATTTTTTTTTCGTCAAACACATACGTGTGGGGTATCTATGGATAGGTCTTCAAAAATGATATCGAGGTTTCTAAAATACTTTTTTTCTAAACCGAATAGTTTGCGTGACAGACGCTTCCAAAGTGGAAAAAAGTTGGTCCCCCCCAATAATATTTTTATTTTAATTTCATAAATCAATGGCACGGAACCCTTTGTGCGTGAGTCCGACACCCACTTGGCCGGTTTTTTCTATAGAATTTGACAGCGGTGCGGCGTTTCATAGATAGCAACAGACTGACAGCTACGCACAGCTTAGACATCTCCTCGTCTCCGCACCGCTCCGCTCTTCTCCGCTCCGCTTTGGTGGAAATAGCCTATCAGTTTTGCCACACATCTCTCCTCTCCGCTCCGCTTCGCCTTGGTGGACGGACCTTATTGTTGTAGGATACTTTTCACATTAAGTTATTAATTTTTGTTTTGTTTCAGAATAATCTGTGGACTGACAGCGTTTACAACCAAAAATCACATAATAAGGGCAGGATTGGAAGCTGTGTGTTTTCAAACTAGGTAAGCAATATTCTGTTTCTAATAATGCCTGCATCTCGCCTTATTATTTACTAGCTGTGCCCCGCGGTGATATCCGAGGTAAAACTTAGCCTATGTGTTAATCCATTGAAAGAGATAAAGCGCGCCAAAGTTCAAAAGAAGTGGCATGAGACGTCAAGCAGTGCTTAAAAGTGTAGCACTTTGTGACGTCACGCGGAACTTCAACGCACCATAACTTCGTAATTACTTGTTTGATTGACAAATAAAAATATACGTGTCCAATATTTTTTGAAAATGTAATTTACGGACTAAAAGTTTGTTTTTAGGAAACTAGCCTTCGTGCCCAAATGACTTCATATTCACTGTGTTTTATTTATTCCTAACAGGGATATATTAGAAGCAATGCACAAGGACTGCGGGCTGCCTCTCACAAAGCTTCACGTCGACGGCAAAATGACGTCCAACGACCTGTTAATGCAACTACAAGCAGACCTGATTGGAATGCCAGTGTGTGAGTAACGTTTTTATTAAAAAAAACTAGCATAAGCGTAAAAACCACAAAGTCAAAGTCAAAATTTCTTTATTTGTTTAGACTAATAAATAGTTCTTACAAAACGTCATATGCTCTTAAGGAGCCTCTACATGTCTCATAATCTTTTTACCCTACCAGCGCTTCGAGCCCAACATTTGGCAAGTGCTGATAAGAAGCGCCGCAACAAACTCAGTCACCACTGTCTGCCGGTTAATATAAATAAATCATCATCACAGATCACAGAAACTAAAGGGAGATGTGAAAAGGGGCGGGCCAGTGTCGCATCAATAAGCCCAAAAACAGAACACATTGCTCGTGACAGCAATTATGACAGCAACGACGTTATAGTTTACACTAGCTGACCCGGCGAACTTTGTTCCGCCTTAATGGCAATAAATAACGGGATAAAAAGTATCCTATGTCCTTCTCCTGGCTCTAAACTACCTCCCTGACAATTTTCAGCTAAATCGGTTCAGCCGTTCTTGAGTTATAAGTGGAGTAACTAACACGACTTTCTTTTATATAATAGATTTATTGCGTAGAACTAAAGATTATATTGTTTTTATTTTGATTACTTTGTGTGTGTGAATTTCTAACGCGACACTGGGTTTCAAACTCAGTGCATTAGTTGGCATCTCTCTAGATCTCTATGGTAAAAAAACAGTATGAAAAATATTTCCTGTTTTTGCAACATTTTTCTTTACTGCTCCGTTACTATTGGCTGTAGGGTGATGTCATATAGCCTAAAGCCTAAAGATTTGTTTTATTTTATTTATTTTATTTACTAATAATAATAATGTATGTTTCAGTGCGAGCCCACACGTGGGATATGTCGCCTCTGGGCGTGGGCATCGTTGCCGGCAGTGCAGCAGGCGTGTGGAGTATGGACAAGTGGCGCCGCCAGGCGTTGCCCACCGAGACCTTTCTGCCCACTACTACGCTTGACGGTGAGTGTTAACGCGTGGGATTATCCGTTGTCCTATGTAACCTGTAGAATTACTCATTGTCCTAGGTTCGTTTCAGCCGAAAGACGTCCACTGCTAGACAAAGGCCTCCCCCAAGGATTTCCACAAAGACCGGTCCTGTTCCGCTCGCATCCAGGCACCTCCCGCGACCTTCACTAGATAATAAAGTTAAATGTCCTAGGTAACCCGTGGAATTATCCGTTGTCCTAAGTAATCTGTAGAATTACCCGTTGTCCTAGGTAACGCCTGGGATTATCCGTTGTCCTATGTATCGCGTGGGATTACCCGTTGTCATAAGTAACCTGTAGAATTACCCGTTGTCCTAGGTAACTCGTGGCATCAGCCGTTGTCCTAAGTAACCTGTAGAATTACCCGCTGTCCTAGGTAACGTGTGGGATTACCTGTTCTCCTAGGTAACGCGTGGGATTATCCGTTGTCCTAAGTAACCTGTAAAATTACCCGTTGTCCTAGGTAACGCGTGGGATTACCCGTTGTCCTAAGTAACCTAAAGAAATACCCGTTGTTCTAGGCAATGCGTGGCGGATATTCTGACGTTTCTAGTGTGACATTGACATTACTACGTCAATGTCACTATGACAGCTCATNGTTAAACTAAAACCTTGTTGGTTCAACCTGCCATTATTATTTCTATTAAATAAAAAAACTACATTTTGCAACATTGCAAGGAATAGAAAATTAAACAAGAAAAACCTTATTCGTTAGCATACGCCATATTTATTTAAATTGTTTATTCACTGTTATGTTGGCAGGTTTGACAGTACCTAGTGCAAGCGAAAACCGACACTAAGGTGACGAACCTTTTCATTCCGCGACTGTACATTGTACACGTAAACACACAAGTATAAAGCTCACACGCCTTCGTGAGGTCTCTAAATAGATTGAGTTTTAAGTAGTCTACCGGCCTTTGTATGCGCTGTATTGGAGTGAGGACGCCGATTTTTTCCGCCTTGGACAACCATACAATTTTACATTTACGAGCTCTACTATCTATACGGGTTCTTAGTTTTTGATTTTTGCCATTTGACGTTTCATAATCGCTGGTCTATTAGGAAAATTACCCCCGTAGTCTTGTCCTTTAAAAACTTTATTGTTGTAATTATGGACACTTTTCACTATAAGTAAAGCTATAAGTAATTTTTGTTTTGTTTCAGAATAATCTGTGGACTAACAGCGTTTACAACCAAAAATCACATAATAAGGGCAGGATTGGAAGCTGTGTGTTTTCAAACTAGGTAAGCAATATTCTGTTTCTAATAATGCCTGCATCTCGCCTTATTATTTACTAGCTGTGCCCCGCGGTGATATCCGAGGTAAAACGTAGCCTATGTGTTAATCCATTGAAAGAGATAAAGCGCGCCAAAGTTCAAAAGAAGTGGCATGAGACCTCAAGCAGTGCTTAAAAGTGTAGCACTTTGTGACGTCACGCGGAACTTCAACGCACCATATGTTCATAATTACTTGTTTGATTGACAAATAAAAATATAGGTACGTGTCCAATATTTTTTGAAAATGTAATTTACGGACTAAAAGTTTGTTTTTAGTAAACTAGCCTTCGTGCCCAAATGACTTCATATTCACTGTGTTTTATTTATTCTTGAAGGGATATATTAGAAGCAATGCACAAAGACTGCGGGCTGCCTCTCACGAAGCTTCACGTCGACGGCAAAATGACGTCAAACGACCTGTTAATGCAACTACAAGCAGACCTGATTGGAATGCCAGTGTGTGAGTAACGTTTTTTATAAAAAAAAACTAGCATAAACGTAAAAACCACAGATCACAGAAACTAAAGGGAGATGTGATAAGGGGCGGGGCCAGTGTCGCAGCAATATGCCCAAAAACAGAACACATTGCTCGTGACAGCAATGATGACAGCAGCGACGTTATAGTTTACACTAGCTGACCCGGCGAACTTTGTTCCGCCTTAATGGCAATAAATAAGCAGACTTTTTTTTTATTTCGAACGGGATAAAAAGTATCCTATGTCCTTCTCCTGGCTCTAAACTACCTCCCTGTCAATTTTCAGCTAAATCGGTTCAGCCGTTCTTGAGTTATAAGTGGAGTAACTAACACGACTTTCTTTTATATAATAGATATAGATTTCTTGCGTAGAACTAAAGATTATATTGTTTTTATTTTGATTACTCTGTGTGTGTGAATTTCTAACGCGACACTGGGTTTCAAACTCAGTGCATTAGTTGGCATCTCTCTAGATCTCTATGGTAAAAAAACAGTATGAAAAATATTTCCTGTTTTTGCAACATTTTTCTTTACTGCTCCGTTACTATTGGCTGTAGGGTGATGTCATATAGCCTAAAGCCTAAAGATTTATTTATTTATCTATCCCAAACCATCATTACAGGTTGACCTAATGCGATAGCGTAATTTGTTAAAAATGCTATTTTTTTTAAGTAATAATAATATTGTATGTTTCAGTGCGAGCCCACACGTGGGATATGTCGCCTCTGGGCGTGGGCATCGTTGCCGGCAGTGCAGCGGGCGTGTGGAGTATGGACAAGTGGCGCCGCCAGGCGTTGCCCACCGAGACCTTCTTGCCCACTACTACGCTTGACGGTGAGTGTTGGCAACGCGTGGTATTACCCGTTATCCTAGGTAACGTGTCCTAAGTTGTCCTAAGTAACCTGTAGAACTACCCGTTGTCCTAGGTAACTCGTGGCATCAGCCGTTGTCCTAAGTAACCTGTAGAATTATCCATTATCCTAGGTAACTCGTGGCATCAGCCGTTGTCCTAAGTAACCTGTAGAATTATCCATTATCCTAGGTAACGTGTGGGATTACCTGTTCTCCTAGGTAACGCGTGGGATTATCCGTTGTCCTAAGTAACCTGTAAAATTATCCGTTGTCCTAAGTAACCTGTAAAATTACCCGTTGTCCTAGGTAACGCGTGGGATTACCCGTTGTCCTAAGTAACCTAAAGAAATACCCGTTGTTCTAGGCAATGCGTGGCGGATATTCTGACGTTTCTAGTGTGACATTGACATTACTACGTCAATGTCACTATAACAGCTCATTGGATATAACGATATAGTTCCAAAATACTGGACTGTCCTATCGATGACATTGACAGTGGGGCGCCACAGTCAATACCGGATCGCTGGTTCCGATTTTTGCCATGTTGGAAACCATATAGTTGAACGATGGTAGCGCCCCCCTGTCATTGAGTTTGGTGGGACAGTTCAGCGTGGGTCATCTATACCGTTAATTTAACGTTTATTTTTCTTTATCAGATCGAGACTCGCGGTACACGAAATGGAAGATGGCGGTGCAACGCTCGCTCGGCTGGACGACGACCAGAAAGTCAATCGCGATGACAGGTCAGGCCAAACGAAAATGTAGCATGGTAACACTTCAGAGCTTTGATTTGGGCAGCAGGAGGAACTCGCTTACTAGAAAGAACTCTTTAATAGACGAGAATTCAGATTTAGAAGAGGGTAGCAAGAAAGGTTCTGTCGAAGAAATCAATTCTATAGGTCATAGTAGCGGGGAGGGAGATAGGAGGGTCTCTTTCGATAATAACTCCGAAGACGGTTACGCGTACGAAGAATTACTGAAATATTCTGCTAGGAAATTCTCCATTTTTGTGGATATAGACAGTCAGGATGAAAGAACTATTTTAGACGATGCAGAGTACTTTAGTAATAAAAAAGAATGCGACTACGGCATGTGCCAGTGTTGCCCGGTTGAGAAAAAATTGCACACGAACTGGGAATCCATTGAGGAAATAATTGAAAACGATCCGGAAATTATTTTCGATAGCGACGACAACCCGATTGTCGTTGATCCGGTTCACGAACCGGGTTCCATAAACAACCATTTCGACAAATTACCCTCGATTTTAAAGACTATCTATGAGAAATTTTCGGAAACACTTCCTGATAGTACTTAGGCGAATTTACGGTTAGGGAAACAGCGAATATGTTTACAAATGAGTATTATTCAATCGAATATTATAGGCTTTGTAACGATATAAAAGATATTACGTTATTTATTGTAGAATTACGTTTTTAGCATGTATTTTTTGTAAAAGACAGTTAATTTTCGATATAAATTAAATGTTGCCTGCTAAGGGAGATTACATTTTGTTGAATGTTGGCTATTTTTTATTGAAATAAGTTATAAGTAACTTGTATATTTTGTGGCTCAAAAAGACTTAATTATGTCCTTGTATTAAATGTATTTCGTATACGATCAATGTTACTGTTATTTTCTATTATATTATACGTTTTGTCTAACTTGTTACGGAGATACTAACATTAAATTAAGATACTTTAACAACAAACTTTTTAAAATAAAAGTATTATTGTACCTTCTTTGAGTCTTTTAATTTCTGTACCTGCATGTTTTTTTCTAATTTGGTATGGTTTTTAAGGTTTATTTAATCCGGTGGGAATTATTTTGGGTTCAAATGAAGAAATCGAGGTATAAAATTGGGCAATCATATTTTTTCATCATTCATTATCTATTCAGATAATTCATAATCATTGCTCGCTCGTCTGGAATCCATTTTGTTACCATTAACAACACTGCAACTGAAGATAAGTTTTTTTTAACTTATTCCATTGCTGAAGTAAAAATGTAGGCATATTACTGACCTCAAGTAAACTTCTGTTTTTTACTCTTTGATTTATTTTATTTTTCAATTGTTATTTTTTCTTTTGTCTTTTGTTTTTTTAAGTGTACTATTATTAGTCATTTGTTATTTTTGATGTTTAGTTTAAATACTGATTTATTTTTGTTTTCTTTTCAGAGGAACGCTATAAACTGCTGGCTTCCATTCCCGCCACTTTATACCTTATAGGCAGTTTCACGATGCTAGTCGTTTCAAATATGCTCAACAACACGTGAAAATGTGAATGCGACTTTATTTTTTAAGCTTCAAGTGTCAATTTTGGATATTTATTTCCGAGTAGGTATAGCTTTATTGAAATTAGAATAATTGTCAAATACAAATCGAAAGGGACTCCAGTAGAGTATCTTTTTAAGTTTAACTGTTGTTAGATGGGTGTTAAGGTACATTCAGCCTATACCGTGCCCTGTCGAACTGAGCCATATTAATAACTGAATTATAGGAAAATTTAATGATGTAGATAGAATAAATATATTTTATAGAAATAAGCTGAACTGTATTATATGTCGTCTAATCTGTTTGCCGCAGCTGTTGCACGGTGTAGTGTGAATATACCTTTATGTAGGTAATAAAGTCAGTACCAATTCCAAATTTTGTTGGTTAGTGATGTAGTTAATTGCTTATTTTGTTATTTTGTGATATTTTACGCAATTTGTTCAATCAAAAAGTGCATTTTACAGCATTTTTTAAAAATATTATGTTTTACAGTCACATTTTATGATTCATGTTGCATTTTAAGTATGTGGTGATGAAAATCAGAGTGTTTGGTCCTTCGAATGAGCTTATATGCCCTTGAATGTAATTTTTTGCCATGTCCCTACTAATATCAAAAAATGTCCACGTTTAAACTGTTTGGGGTTTTTAATCGAGTTTTAACAGTTTGTACAGTCTGCGTCAAAAAGTTCGCAACACGTCTTTGTTACATTTTGTCAACTTTTTGGCCACTTTGGGTGTCACGAACTATATGACCCTGACTGTAATACGGACTTTTGGAGATAGTGGACTGTCAAACTTTGCCACCGTTTCTCGAACTTCGACTGATATTTTTTTGTTATTTTATATTAAGCATCAACGAATCATTTCCTTACATATCGATTAATTTATACCGATTTTATGATGTCTCGATTGTGGCCACTCGATGTTTTAGTTAATTGTTCTCGATTTATGAATATTTAATTATTAATTTTGTATTTGTAATTTTAATCCAGTGACTAGTTCCTGTTCTGCCATTTATAGAATGTTACCAATATGTATATTATTACTTCTTGTATTGTATACAGTTACCAGTATGCCAACCTGTCACAAAGTAACGTCTGCCAATAGTTTTAAACATGATTATTTTGTCATATTTGTCGTAGTTTGGTATTCTGTTGACTGTACAGTTTTTTTTATAATTTAGTAACATTGATGCATACTGCATCACATTTGCTATTTATATTAATTAAAAATGTTTTTTAGTTAAAAATGACCTCTGCCAATGCCAATCATTCCCAATGTAGCAGGACGGATGACATCTATGTACAGTCAGCTTCAAATAGTTCGTGGCACCCAAACTAGCCAAAAAGATCGCAACACGTGTTTGTTAAATTTGGAATAAGCTTGTGTTGTTAACTTTGTGCATCACGAACTATTTGATGCTGACTATACTAGTATACTTTTCATGAATTTCTTAAAAGTTGAAACAAAAATAGGGTAAGAGCGCTTTCGGAATATTTCCGATCGGAATCCGTGAAAATACGGTTTGGAGTCTGTATAGATCGTTTCATCCACGAAGACGCGCCCCACCAATTTTTGGTCGAGGGAAGCGCGGGGTGCGGGGAGTTTGATCCGAGCAATCCGAGCGGCATTATTGTAGTGTGCGTGTGCACTCGTGGATAATGTAGCGTGTACCGATAACACTCAAACATTAGCGGAAGAATGGTGGGGCGCGTCTTCGTGGATGAAATGATCTATAGTCGTAGAACTATTTTTGTTTGTTTATGCACTAGCTCCGACATCCGTCATCCGATTTCTCTAGTGTTTTCTAGATCTATATTTTGACGGAATCAGGTCGGACGGAATGAGGGCTATCGTTTTAGCTTTCACCAGTTGGCGCCATTGTAGAGTGACCTTATCACTTACTATTAGCGAAGACAGTGGTGCCAACTGGTGGCGCTTAAGTGGTAGGAGAAACATTGTATTTGTACTCACCAGGATGGCGCCACTGTAGAGTTGGGTCATTTCGATCGCCAGTGGTGCCAACTGTTTAGTATAAAAACGATAGCCCCCACGGAAATAATATTTTTCTGTACTATTGAAATTAATACTCTCATGGTGTCATCCAGTCCTATTATGTGCATTTCGTAATAAAATTTTGTAATTTGTTAATTTATTGACATTGTTTTTATACATTTTTGTACTTAATGTAGCAATGCCTGTGCCAGTCCATTGTAATTTATTAATTAATAATTATGTGTATGTTTTAGATGGGTTTTAGATTTTTCGCAAATGATTAACAATTTTTTACAATATCTACTAGTGGTTTCTGCATTTTACATTAAATAATATTATCATTGTTAATTCAATTAATAATAAATAGATTCTAATATTCATTAAAGTGCTCGATTACTATGCTAATGATATAAACAGTACATACTTCAAAATCGTTCTTATTCCTCAGGAAATAATGACGATCTCAACTCAAGATATATTACATTTTATTGTACTGTTGTGTACCCTATTAATGTACAATGTAATAAATAAGGAGAAACTAGTAGACCAATAAAAATATAAAATTTTCTTAATTGATTTTGAACCTTTTTGTAAAGATTTAAAGTTCAAAATTAATTTAGGAAAATAATAACAGTTCTATTACTGTAAATTCTCAATAAAATGGTAATAGGTACACCTACCGTAGAATTATGTATATTGCAAGACTATAAATAAAATTAATAGAAAAATATTAGTTAATACTCAAATTGTTATGTCATTATGGTGAAATAAATTATTAAATTGTTGGGATTTATCGTTGGTTTTATTTCACAAATGAGATCGATAAGAAATATTAAAATGTTCCTTATTTCCTTGGTTTCTCGTAAAATATAGCCCTGGTATTAGACTTACATGTCTACCAACTAGCTTTCCGTCCGCGGCTTCGCCCGCGTGGAATTTTTAGGTTTTTTTTTATATAATATGACACTCAGCATTGGTGAAAGAATTTTTAAAATCGGTTCAGTAGATCTCGATGATACAAACACACGAAACTTTACCGCTTTATAATATTAGATTATTGATCCAATTAGACGATCCATCGATCTACTATCCACCTGCAATAAGCGAACTCGCAGGAAAAACGCTGACAAGATTGCGTTCGGCAAATAATTATATTCGCCTGGAGCTACGCGTGGCTACGGCTACCGCGGACTAGAAAAAACTTTTAAAACTTTCGCGCCATATTAAATTATTTGCTGTATATTGGTATTATTGATACCACAACGTTCAGTAATTTTACTTGTCTTAAAAAGGGTGATTGTTTAATACCGCTTCTAAACGGACGAACAGGCTATTTTATTTGCAAAATTAGCTTCAATATTGATCTGATAGAAAGGATATTTTGTTACATGTTTTTATCAAAATGCAATATAATAAGCTGTGCTGTAATTTCTGAACCCATCAACCTTTCGTACTACCAACATAGTAATAGTAAATGTCAAAATCACGAGTCGAATGTCAGATGTTGATAAAATTGTAAACAAATGTGAAGAATTTTACAGTTTTTTGTTATCAATTGGCTAAAAATAAACAATGCTGAATATTTACTAAAAGAAAACTTAATATTCTAAAACATCTCCCTTTCTGAAAACATTATCGCTTATTTGCAAAGTGCACCCTTCAGAGGAAAGTGAGTGAAATTTTTGTACCTGATTTTCGATTGTGAGAAAATAAATTAAATCGAAAGATGACCGACATAGAAAGTTTGCCCGTGGAAACATTTTTAGATATACTAAAACTAATTGACGGTGTCACGTTAGCAAAATGCAGAAGTGTTTGCAAAAAATGGAAAGATTGTATTGATGGCACAGATTGGTTGTGGCACGAAATTTGCAAAAATGAGTTCAAATTCTCGTCTAAAATTGCAAAGCAGAAGTCGGGAAGCGACTGTGACTGGTACCACATTTATAAGAACCTCAAAATGTGGTCTAAAGTTATGTCTTTTGAGAGAAATGTAAGAGAATTCTACAAGTTTACATTACACGACAAAAACCACGCTCTGGATGTTAACTATAACATTTTACCCTTGAGGGATACCAGAGGGGTGGTAATGTATGATATGAGCACACTGAAATACATACCAGTTTCAGTACCGGAGAAAAACTGTGTTAAAATTGCTAATAATGACTTTGCCACCGTTATACTTCTAAAGTCCGGAATGTACATCCAAAAAACAATTGACAACATCACGAACATGTCTGAAGCATTCTTCGAAGCAGATAATTTTGTTTTAGCTGGCAATAATGTATACTTTTTCAATAACAGAAATGTGTACAAGTGTGACTTAAGTTTAGACAATTTATCATCAAAACTAATAATTCATTGCGACTATGACATAAAAGATATACAGTACGATAACAATGTCATTCACATATTTACAGATTGCGCCAAAATAGTCAATGTATATAAAAATAAAACTACTGAAGTGAAACCGATAAATGTTCCCCCGGAATGGACGAAACAAATTAAATATATCCGCGCAATTAATGACAAGAACTTTGTCTGTTACTCAAGAAACTTGTTCAAGATTGAAACTGACAAATACCGGCATTTATATTTAGATTTTCCACCTATAACAGCGTTGTTCTTTTATGCTGATATTGTTTTAATTGGGACACGACAAGGGGAGATCCTACTATACCGACTGGCCAGTCAGAAACGGGCTATAAAGCCTATATTTGAGGATATAGCTACGTTGCCAGGAGACAAGTTTGCTGTACAATTGGATGTTTGCGAAAGAAAATCGGGTCCGGTGATAGTAGTGGCAACGTTTTTTGAAATATTTCTTATTGAGATTGATTTCTTTCCCCATGTGAGTAAGAATTGTTTTCATGTAAATATTGATTTTATTGATAATCTAACATGAATTTAGGATTGAAAAATATTTACTAACATAGAAAATTTTATTTTTCAGGAAAAAGAGCTCAAGAAATCATTCCCCGTTAACAAGCAGTATATGTACAAGAGGCTGTTGAGACTAAGAGACAGAATAGCATTGAATTATAGCTAAATTATAGTTTCAAAGAACACAGCTCAAGACCGAACGCGATGGAGGACTGTTGTGGACGCCCTCTGCCCCATCTAGGGGACATAGGACCATAAGTCAAGTCAAGTCATAGTTTCAAAGAAAGTGATGATGTAATCAGAAAAGTATGAAAAATAGTGTATAGTAGTATTTATTTTTGTTTTTAAGAATTATGTTGGTATGTTTCAAAGATTACATTATAAGAGCAGAAAATACTAGTACTTTTGAGGCTAGGATTTTTGAAGTTGAATGTACTAAGAGGCTGGACTCAGGTCTAAATGGCATAGTTATGGCCATTTTCGCCGTCAATCCCTAGTTTATAACTTTATAAGTGATCCCTATGGTAACACAACAGGAATTTTGTTTTCATAGGGGTCACCTAAAAATTAGGAATTGATGGTCAAAACGGACATTATATATAGAGTAGGACTGGTAAGGTGGTGTACTGGTGTGTCCCCTACGTAATTTCGAATACCGCTGTTACGACGAATGCTGCTGTGAATAAATTGCTTAATTGTTTTTACATTTAAAATTTTTATACACCGAAATAACGTTCGTTCGTTCGTGACTACATCATTCGAGTCCATAAGCTTTCGTACCTATCCTTTAAGGCAGTGAAAAAAAATCGCAACAGCGGTATTCGAAATAACGTAGGGGATCCGTCGCGTCTAAAATGATCGATAAGATTTGACTAGACATATTAAATTATCTCTATCAAAAGTGGATTATATCAAGTCTAATCCTGCTACTAATCAAATTAGTAAACAGTGAAATATTGTGATGGCAACGGTAATACTAGGTTTGCAAAATGTAAAATTGAATTCTGTACAGAAATGTTATTTATTTCCTATGCATTATTTATTGTGTTATTGAAAGCTTGTTAAATAGAAAGTGTTTAATAGAATTTCGTTTTGTGTGATCTGTTATTGTTGGTAATATTATAGAATAATTAAAAGTCAAGCATATTTTATTTATAATTAGCGTCCGCCCGCGACTTCCCGTTCCCGTTTTACTCCCTGGGGTTGAATTTTGCAATATCCCGTCCTAGTGAGCACCTACGTTCTAAAAAAAGCCCCCATGCAAAATTTGAAACTCCTAGCACTTTTAGTTTCTGATATTTCGTGATGAGTCAGTCAGTCAGTGACCTTTCACTTTTATACATAGATATAGATTTTATTGGTGTCAGAGCAGAAGTACCTATCTTGATACTTTTGGTTAATTTATAATTAATGTTTTTAAAATAGCCATAACCCTCCTAATATGGTGGTGGTATAACTTAACCAAGTGGTTAATTAATATTCTTTACAAAAAAGTCTCATAGGGCGGGGCACAAAACTCGTAGAGCTGATGGCCCGTTGGGGCAGAAAAGTTCTCGAGTGGCGACTACAAGCCGAAAGACGTAGCGTGGGCAGCCCCCCCCCACTAGGTGGACTGACAATCTGGTGAAGGTCGCTGGAAGAACCTGGATGCGGGCAGCGCAGGACGGTCGTTATAGAAATCTTTTGGGGGAAGCCTTTGTCGTTAGTCCAGCTATGTTACGTTAGTCCATACTAATCAAATGCGACAGCGACACTGATCCAAAAACTCTTATCCATAATACACTCCAAAATATCACGAATTGGCTGGAACATCATAATTTGGAAATTAACTTAGGAAAATCAAAACTTGTACAATTTCGATCATACAACAAACCACCCATACCTAGATACAAATATCCACTTTAAAAACACCCAAATAGAAACAGTAGAATCATATAAATTGCTTGGACTTAATGTAGATACGCATCTGAATTGGAAATCCCACATAGAATATATAAAATCCAAACTTTCAAAATTCACCTATGCACTTTACAAAATCTACCAAAGTACAAACTTAAAAACCGCGCTCTCAACTTCGTCGGCCGTTTGGTGTAGTGGTTCGAAACGGACAACTATTCCGGAGGTAGCGGGTTCGATTCCCGCACAGTACAAACATTTGTGTGCATGAACATATTTGTTTGTATTGGACTGGGTGTTTTCTATGTATAATATGTATGTATTTACAAAAAAAAAAAAGTATTTAAGTATGTTTACCTATATCCGTTGTCTAGTACCCATAGTACAAGCTTTGCTTAGTTTGGGACTAGAAGCGCAGTGTAAAATGTCCAAGGATATTTATTTATTTATTTATTATTATTTATTTATTTATTATTACGCCTACGCCTACTCTTGGCTAAAATATGGAGTTATTCTCTGGGGTAACAGTGTAAATGCAAACGATATATTTATGTTACAAAAAAAATGTGTTAGAATTCTAGCCCGAATTGACAATAGACAAAGCTGCCGACCTTATTTTGTAAAATTTAAATTATTAACATTAGTTTCAATTTATATTAGGGACATACCTATTTTTGTATTCAATAACAAGCNGGTATTTATTTTTGTTTTTAAGAATTATGTTGGGATGTTTCAAAGATTACATGATAAGAGCAGAAAATAGGCTAGAATATTATGGACTAGAATGTACTAAGAGGCTGGACTCGGATCTAGATGGTATACTTAGAGTAGGACTGGTAAAGTGGTGTACTCGATTGGATGGGTCCTTACGTAATTTCAAATACCGCTGTTGCGCTTGCGACGAACGCTGTGTCTGTTCTGTTCTGAATGAGCGTTCGTTAGCACATTAGTATGCAAAAAAAATTGGAATTGAATTTGAAAAAAAAAAAATTTTAACATTTAATATTTTTTGTACAGTACATTTCAATTCTCGTCTCTCCCTCCATGTATGAAATATTGAATATTTTTTTATGTACCCATTAAAACAAATATGTAAATCTAAGTCACAAGCATTCGAACGTATGAGGCAGTGAAAATGTTTTTCTAAATAGTCATTCCGCGACTACATCAAGTCCATAAGCTTACGAACCTCTATGAGGCAGTGGTAAAAAAACAGCAGTATTCAAAAATACGTAGGGACCCGTCGTCTAAAATGATCGATAAGATTTGACTAGACATATTAAATTACATATCTCTATTTAAAAGTGGATTTATATCAAGTCTAATCCTGCTACTAATCCAATTAGTAAACAGTGAAATATCGTAAAAGATTTGTGATGGCAATGGTTACTAGGTTTGCAAAATGTGAAATTGAATTCTGTACAGAAATGTTATTTGTTTCCTATGAATTATTTATTGTGTTATTGAAAGCTTGTTATGTGTATAATAGAATTTCGTTTTGTGTGATCTGTTATTGTTGGTAATATTATAAAAGAAATAAAAGTCAAGCATATTTTATTTGGATCTCGTTTTACCCCCTGGGGTTGAATTTTGCAAAATCCCATCCCAGTGAGCACCTACGTTCTAAAAAGAGCCCCCATGCAAAAATTGAACCTCCTAGCACTTGTAGTTTCTGATATTTCGTGATGAGTCAGTCCAGTCAGTGACCTTTCGTCTCCTAATACAGGTTTTCTAAACTTAAAAGGAGACTCCCAAGCCCTGTAAATGTGTCTTATAAGAACATTAAAAAACGTTTGAATTATTTTGAATTTGAATTTTGAATTTCACGTTTATAGATATAGATTTTCTAAGTGTCAGAGCAGAAGTATCTTGATACTTTTGGTTAATTTCAAATCAATGTTTTCATAATAACCATAATACCCGTCCAAATATTGTGGTGGTATAACTTAACCAAGTGCTTAATTAATATTCTTTACAAAAAAGCCTCATAGGGCGGGGCCCAAAACTCGTAGAGCTGATGGCCGTTGGGGCAGAAAAGTTCTCGAGTGGCGACTACAGGCCGAAACATCGTGGGCAGGCCCCACACTAGGTGGACTGACGATCTGGTGAAGGTCGCTGGAAGAACCTGGATGCGGGCAGCGCAGGACGGTCGTTATAGAAATCTTTTGGGGGAAGCCTTTGTCGTTAGTCCAGCTATGGTCGTCATTTGGCTGAAACGAACAAAAAAACTTAATTGAAAACCAATTCTGTTATTGCCAAAACAATCGAAGTGCCTGGAATAAGGAATTTATTGGCAAGGTGTCACCTACCGATTCCGTCGTTCGAACTCGAGTAACGCGTAGGCTGTATAATCGAACACTTCCCCCTGCCTGTGTCACGGGGATCATCAATCTTTGGTGAAAAATGACACTATTCCTTCCTCTCTGTGGATGCTGCTACATCTACATACTTGCGTAAGTAATGGATTATAGGTACCTACTACTTAATGTGTATTATAAATGCGTAGTGGCTCAAAACAAAATAAAAGTCCGTTTGGAACTTGCGCAAATGGAAGACGTAATCAGCTCTGAAGAATTTTGATTTTGAAAGAATTTGGTAAAGACGAACTAATCTAGAAAATAACGCTGCTATTAGTATATTATACCTACTTATTCTGTGGTAATAGCAGTAATACTTAGGCTCAAGCATCCTCTAACTAACGCAAGTGCGTTAGAAGATTATCTGCCCAAATTCATCATCATCATCATCATATCGGCCATAGTCGGCCACCACCTCCACCAATGATTTCCATTTATTTGGCAGAGGCCATCCAGCGCCTTTCTACCTCTATGAGGTCATCAATTTATAAATGCCTGCCCAATTTACAAACATTAATTTCAATATTAAATTACCTATTCGAATTGCGATTGTGAACTTCCTTTAGCCTAGGTGCAGACCACCGACTTTTAGTTGGCCGATAGTTGGGTCGGGCTGTTAATACTTAGTATGGACAAGTATGTAAGTGCGCATACTTACTACACCGATTTGGGATCGGCCGATTCTTCATACAATTAAAATCGGTCCATTCCACTTTGATCACCTGGCTTTGATGACCCAGGTGATCAAAGTCCACTTCCAGCGACAATTTAGTGTCATTTGATTACCTACATACAAATCACACCTCCTCTGAATAGTCACATGTCCAAGTGTTGTACTTACATAAAATATTTTGTTTTATAACATTTTTAATATTTTCTAAAAAACGCAATAAACAAATTGGACATGTTTGTGACTATTCAGAGGTATAATTTATTTATATGTGATCAAAGGACACTAAAATAATAATTTAACTGGAGTCCACTTTGATCACCCAGGGCATCGTATCCGTGGGTGATCAAAGGACACTAAATTGTCGCTGGAAGTCCACTTTGATCACCTGGGTGGTCAAAGCCAGGTGATCAAAGTGGAATAGACTGGTGATCAAAGTGGAATAGACCTTAAAATGAATCGGGCCCAACTATCGAACAACTAAAAGTCGGTGGTCTGCGCCTAGGCTTAGACATACCTACCTACATAAAGTTTAAACAAACAAGGTAGCTGTTATAAAGCTGGCAAAATCTATTAATACCCAGCGTAAAATGTTTCGTTAAAATAGCTCATGCTTCCAAAATCTGCAACAAGCTTTCAAAAGCTCGTCCTAACTAATGGTTGCCTAGCAACGTCGTTTTAGTTAGCTCGAACAGGCGAATAAATTGAAACCTAGACAATGGGTTTAATTAGGTAGGTAGGTATATCGGGATTTACTGTACTCTTAATTACTGAGTTTCCGGTATATAACTTCTGACAAACGTTTTATAAACCTAAGATACTACGCCCGTATTCACAAACATTACGATGAGGTACTCACAGTGCGCGTGGACGCACAGGGTGATACACGAACCAATCACAAAGCTCTTCAACGCTGTGCGTTTGATTTGCTGCTTCATTTAAGCAAGCATCGTTTCTGAATACGGGCTTTAGGTAAGTATTAGGTTTTTAACGATTCTGTGGAGGAAAGTAAGTAGGAGGAGGAACCTACACGTGTTCAATAAATAAAACTAGTCTGGCG